TCACTCTCTCTGTCTCTCTCTCTCACACTCTCTCTCTCTCTCTCACTCTCTCTCTCTCTCACTCTCTCTGTCTCTCTCTCTCTCTCACTCTTTCTTTATCTCTTTTTCTTTCTCTCTCTCTGTCTCTCTCTATCTCTTTCAGCGAGCGCTCACGTGTGTGTGAGTGTGAGTGTGAGTGTGAGTGCGCGCGCGTGTGTGTGTGCGTGTGTATGTGCACGCGCGCGCACATGAGCGTGTCTCCCCTTCACCCACCCTCTCACTATCTCGTCCCCCCCCCCTTTTCTTCTTTAACCTCCCACATACATCCCAGCACACAAAGCAACCGCCCCACAGCGATGACAATTGGGAAACGAGCTTGGACGCTTCTAGAGAATTCTAGACATCAGACAAAGCACCTTCAAAGAAGACCCATAAAGCTGCTGGCATTCAGAAGATAACAAAACCTCAGCAGCGACGACGATTTCAGTAGTTAAATACCACCATCAACTCTTTAAATGCCGCCAACCGTCCGCACATGTTTAAACAGAAGACTCGAGAGAACAACCGCAGGACGGACAGAAGGAAATTACTTCCTTTGGTACCGGGTTGTTTCCCTTCGCCAAAAACGAACTGGATTCTACTCCTTTTCAGTCTAGTACGGTTAGATCTAGTAACAATCGTGCACATGGCCATAGGAAAAACAAACAAACAAACAAACAAACAAACAAACAAACAAACAAACAACAACACCACCAACACCAACCCCCCCCCCTTCTAAAAAAACAAGTGGAAAAAAATACTGAACATTTGGGACCCCATAGAAACTGCCGCACGGGGACTCAGAACTTACGGTCATGTTGTTTAATACACTTTGTATTAAACACTATTTTTATTCAAACCACATAACGCATTATTTTTTTCATTCCAGAAATCCGGATCGCCAGATTTATCCTGAAAATCGATAACTCCGGAGAAAAGCTAAAGCTTGGTGGGGTAGGGAGGGGTAGAGCAAATTATGGGATGTCAGCGTATGTTCTCTTCTGGTATTCGTTGTTTTTGGGGGTCTTTTTTCAGAGCGGGTTTTGCGACATTTAGGTCACGTAAGTGGCAAAGATTAGAAGTGTTCTTTGAGAGTAACAACCCCATCAACAAAAATGATTAGGATCGGATATTATGTACCAATGAGAAACAAGCAAGCACAGCGATACTACTATAGATGCTTCTGTTGCTGCTGCAACCACTACAGCTACTGCTACTACTACAACTACTGGTTTGTCTTGTTTAAATAGGCCTTAGTATCTCTTACAGAAGAATGAACCATCTTGTTAAAAATATTAAAAAGAGGAACGTTTACACCAAGCACCTCTAACGACACATTTTATCAACATAAATTACGGGTCAAAATAGACAAACACAGACAGATTGCAAACTTTGCGCGACACTATCTACACAGTGGGCTGTATATTTTCATGGTGCCAGCCGGAGCCAACCCAGCCTGAGTTGGAAAGCAAAACTACTGAAATAACACAAGAATCGAACTCACGCAGAGAGGGATATTACTGACACACTCACAGACC